TTATTTAGCACACTGCAAATATTGTCTGAATATCTTAAGTATTGGTCTTGCTGCTATTTGCCATCATTTTAGAAGCACCCTCCTGGTGTGTTGCATCGGATAATGCCAAGAATATTGATCTGTAATAACAGGACATCCATTTATATTGTTTCCGTGGCTTGTGTTTCCAGTATTGACTTTCATAATGTGGGTTTATTTTTATATGCTATTCACAAAAAAAAAAACAGATAATATTGGTAAGTCATGTTTCATCATGTAAACAAAATTCTACCCACTTTGTATACACTTATGCCACATGGGACTTGTATCGCTTTAATGTTTATTTTTTGTGATATAAAATTAATGTTTGAACATTCAGAAATTGTTCCAAAATTATCTATTTTTTCATACAAGACGAATGTTACATGGGGTAAAATCAAATATTTAAAGAAAAACAAACTATTTAAATACTGATAAGTTGAATGCCCACACATTATTGGAGGCTACCAAGAAAAAGCTGAACATCTAACTTGTACTTTTCATTGTAATAAATGATATAATAGTCCTACTACTTGATAACTGCATTGGATTTTAATTTTGTGTCATTCTTGTTTTTATATCTTTCTGGTTCAAACTGTGTTGAACTGTGAAGACGCAGTTGATAACACAAACACATTTTTTTTTTTTTGATTCAAGAAGCTCACCTGTACCATAAGTTACTTCTGCATACCGGTAAATGTAGGCTTGTGGTCAAAATAAGTCATTCAGCTTACAATAAACACAATTTTGTGTTTATATGTGCTTTTAATTAGAGATGTGCATGTGCTGTGTAAGTATTTCTGAAGTCTGCGTCTCAAATCTGATTAATTATGTTTAAAAACTGTTTTTGTTTTGAACTGGAGTGGCGTGATCAGTTGTGCAATAGCAGTTTTGTCACAAAGACAATGGGAAGCAAGATTTCTATTATACTGCGCCCTCTGGTGGTGCGATGTCTATAGACTGTAATTTTATACATGTCGTCTAGACATTGGCTATAAAGTGTTAGATATGAAGTATACATCATCAATAATTCATTACTTTCCTTGGATCTCTTGTATTCCTTATTTTTTGTGTTAATTCTTTTCTATATTCATCTTTGATTGTGATTTTATTTTGATGTAATTCATCATGTTAAACACCATAAAAAAAACACTCAATTTTTAATTTGGTGCCCCAAAATAGAACTGCTACAAGTACAGGTTATGAACTGATAATTAATTGAAAATGAGATCTCATGGAAATGTCAGTTTGAAAGAAGAGCTGTGAAAATAGCCATTCATGGTTCATTTCATTTCAGGTCGGATGCTAATGATAGTGAGATTAAAAACATATGACATCATCATTTAGCAAACAAATTTTCTATCAATGAGAATTATTTTTCTAAAAAAAATGAATAACATGTCAAAAATTGAGGTATATGTTCCATGGTGCACATTGAGTGTTAAATGACTACCTCTTTGAAAGTGCAGAGCTTTTCCTTTTATATTCCTTTAACCTTTTCACCACCAGTTCTCTCTTTTCATCACAAATTCACAAAATAGTTCTGTTTTTATATAATCTGCACTTTCCTTCAGAAGATTAGGACAAAAATAGTCAAATTGAAGAATATAAGAAAAAAAAGTATAGACAGATTTGGACAGAAAGTCTGGTGGTGAAAATAGTTAAATACTCTCAGTCAAAATCCCCTCCACATCGTAGTTATTAACAATTATATCACTGACCTCACCTTTAAAATTTAATTGTAAAGTTGCTGCTGATGTCAACACTGTTTCTTACCCCAAGTGTTTCTGCAGACCAAATGCTTGGTGTGAAATTATCACAATTATTTGTACGTGAAGTAATGTGCAATGCTTTGTAGTGGTATCCTCTGCTACATGAATACACCAACCCTCTGTAACTTGGTTTACTTACTACTCATGTCAGAATTCCCTACCTCATTCCAAACTTTAAAAGGGGCGTATTGTACGAAGTTACTTTTAATGTCTACTTAATACTCAAGTTTAAATCTACTTGTCCCACATTGTGTTGTACAGCTTTTTTTGAACTCGATATACAAAAGCCACTTTGTGTGCTGTAATGCGAGTTGCAGTGCTTGATCAATCCATCGCTTTTACTTGCGGTTGTAGGCATTGTGGTAGAACCGTTATCTCTCAGGACTAACAATTGAAGTCAGTTTTCACTTCAATTCCAGACTCTATTCATACTGTGTCATTAAGCAGTAATTTAAAATAATAATATGCAGTATTCTAGAGCATTGATGTCATCATGGTTTTATTTGGGTGATAATAAAAGAAGACAATATTATTATTGTTGTGGGCTGTAGATATCAAACACTCTGAGGCATACTTTCTTGATCTATATTTGTGCAAAATAACCAAATATCTATTATCGATGCATGCTATAGAAAACCAGAATCTATTAAGAAAATGAAACATGCACAATAGAATAAAATAGAACATTCTTTTTTGGTTTTACACATGTGCTAGTGCATATTTGTTCTCATATACCAGGTAATTGGTGTACGTACGTTAGCCATCATCAACTCCTGTTTTCAAGATCCCAATTAAAAACTTTCACTCATGCTCATTTCACTTATAAATTTTCTTGCTTTTCTGAAAATTTCACAGTCAATTTAAATTGAGGAATTTCAATTATACCATATATGTCTGGGCAGTACTAATCTGTTATCGTGATTGACCCAAAAGTCCCCCCACCTCCTCAAGACAATGCCTGCAAGAAATGCGGCCACTTGATACACAATTCTAAATGCACACCAAACAAACTATTACATATACTGGAATTCAATCTGTGCAGTGTTTGTGTGAAAACACATGTACAGAATAACCGGATACACTGTATAATTTCCAATAACCCGGTTGATTCCAATGCCTGGTTGTATATATCTAAACTGGATATCTTTTCATTTCATCTCAGGTTCCCCAGCTGATAGAGCTGATCTGGAAGTAGATGATGAGATCCTGGAAGTTAATGGTCAATCCCTGGAAACTGCATCACATGCTGAAGTCATCCAGCATATTCATAAAGTAGGTCTTTTATATTGTCAGCTATACTTTAAATTGAACTCACACTTATGTAAATTATATACTGTAAAATCTGTATTAGAAACCGCGGCTTCTATTAAAATGGTACAATGCAACAGAGGGAATGCGGCTTCTATTAGAGCATCTACACATATGAGAAATGATGAATTTTTGGTTCTCAAACATTCAAAAAGAATGGGTGCGACTTCTATTAGGGATGCGGCTTCTAATACAGATTTTACGGTATTGTGTGGATATTAACAGATTATTTGAATGACTTCTGGATCCCTTTGACAGCCAGTGTTGTATTGTTATGTCTAGTACAGTCAAATCATTTAATTTTGATATTGCAAACATTTCACTGATTTTTTTTTTATTCACGAATTTGCCAGGGAGACGATGAGTTTTATTGTTATTTACATGTTTATGTGGATTTAATTTAGCAAATATTTCTTATCAGTGAAAATAGGGGAATTAAATTTCAGTGAATAATAATTAATGTATTTACAGTAATTGGAATTCACCGATACCAAGTGGCAGCACATATTGGAGTGTAGTTTGTGTTTCTTTGTAACAAATTTATTTGATAAATGTTGAATGCATCATTCAAATTGCAATATTAATTCTTTACCTGTATGTTTAAGTATTAACACTACACAGGTTGAAATTATCCATCCTAACCCAAACAACAAGTACCGTACTTGTTCACAGTAATTCAGATATTATTTCATTCTTGTTGAAATTCCACACGGGTGTTTAAGAAAACAAATTTGACTGTGCCAAAAACCTCCAATGTTTCTGTGTTTTCCACTTTCTGCAAATAAATCATCGTTAACGAACTAGTTTTCCCATTTTTTTACCAAAAATCTGTAATAAGATCTATGGCAATTAAACAATTATATTTTTCAAAATAACAAAAATTAATAAAAGTTGGCAAAATACTTCATCATCAAAATGTTAATGGGAAAAATTATGGAGTTAAATAACAATAGATGATGGTAGTTAAGATGGAAATACTTTTCACTGGACTACATTTCTCTTTTTCTATTTACTGAAATGTACATGTACTGTAGCCAAAATCAGTTACTAGCTTCAGCAGTTGTAGAGTACACCCGCACTGTGTGAAAATATTCTTGTAAAGAAATAAAAGGTCCACTGTTTTCATTCAAATTTGTTATCATTGTTTTGATATAATACAGTCTGCAGAATACCTTCATTTTTAACTTCTTTGAATACTACCACTTATTGTTACTTAACATACATTAATAGTGGCGTCACAAGAAAGCACATTACTCTTTCAAATCTGACCAGATGTTTTACTTGCCAGCCAATGAGAAAAGCCAGTTGTAATAAAACCAGGTCATACTGCATTTTACTATTTGCATACTGTATAATTCTGTAAACTGTTCAATTTTTACTGCTAACAATTTTCACGGACTCACAAAATTGTTGAAATTCGTCTCTTGCAAAATTGGAACAGGTTAAACTGTATCGGTCTACAATACTCACAACCACCAAAGTGTATGGTTATCCTACGTACGTGATTAAGATATTGTTTTATGGTTGCCTTTGCAACTTGACTTCTCTGACACACATACATACACCACCTACTCAGATACCAAACCTGGCACGGTACCAACTAGCAGTATATGCTGTAATACAGTCTCTCTGACTGCTATACTTCTTTCTTTTCACAGTGTATTCGCTCCAGAACTATATCTCTGCGAGTCAAGAGACGTGCACCAGGAGGTAAGTGTACATTTTACGTTTTCAAGTCAGAGACACATGTTGGAGACATATAACAATATGTAAACATCTGCGCTGCTTCTCCGACCACAATTATTAAGGTTTACTGGCCTTTGAGCTTGGAACGTGCGAATATTTCATTGTGTTTGCATGTCGCCGTATTGTTTTCCTAAGGGTACCAATTCAACTTAATAAAATAACTCCAACTGAATTTGACCTTGTCTGACCTTCAGGCAATTCAGTGATGACAATAGCGTGAATAAATCATGTTCACAGAACGCTGCATTTTCAAATGCTGCATTTAAAATACTGTAGAATACTTTATTTCCACTTAGAATTTATTTTCGCTATTTTCGCTGAAGGGATGATTCCGTGAAAATAAAATCCACTGAATATACTTTTTTTCCTATATTTCACATTCAACTCATCAAAAATCAGTGAAAATAAATTCTATACTAAACACCCAAAAAGCCTTTTCAGCGAAGTTAATTCCAGCTAAAATAAAGTATTTCACAGTACTGCGTCTATAATAGTATAGTATAGTATATTTTATTTGACACTAAATAATATATTTTGTTACATTATCTGTGGTCAAAAGACATTAAATATAATAAAACACAAGTACACACACGAGACAAAAGAAAATACACAAATAACTAAAGTCTAAGTAAAATTACTTATAGTAAAATAATATGCTGTAATATAATATAATATATTCCACAAATTAATGTAGTGATGATTTACTTGTCAAGTTTAAAGCCTGAAGTTATTATGTTACAGCCACATTGTTATTTGTGATAGTCAATAGTCAAAAAAACATGTAGGATTTGTCGTCTGTTTTATTTATGTATTTGTTTTGTTTTACAGAAGGGAGGGGTTTACTTATGTCTGTTGCCTTGAAATTGCTTATATATGTGACCCCCCTTGGAGGTCACACTATAAAGTTCTTAACTGATGAGTTCATGATGTTTATAGATTCAACTATTATGCCAGAGGGAAGTGTAGGGTCTCTCTGGAGGGGAATAGGTTTTGTTTTCTAAAAGTAAAAGTCACAACCTCATTCTAATAAAGGAATTGTGCTTATGTGAAGTATGTGCCTAACAATGTAGATATAGTTAAATTTATATGGGTTGTTGTTAAAGTGAAACAAGTTCTCCAGAGAAAGACAAATTCTAAGCCGAAATTTGATGTGTGTAATCCAGAATCCCCTGTTTATATCACTAATATTAAGATTGCTCAGATTTTTAACAAATCTTCCTCCTAAGTATATATTTGTAGTGAAGGGAATTTAAAAATAAAAGTCTATCTTAATCA